TAAAAAAAAAAAAAAAAAATCTCTAAGTGAAATTCCCATTTTTCCCTTTTAGGAGGTAAGCTTTTGCATTCACATGTACCCCTTCCTTTTTTTTTCCTTTCCTATTCTCACTTTCTGCCTTATTTTTTCCATAAATAAATAAATAAAAGCAGAAATGGATAAACCTTCTCATTAATCCCAAAAGCCAAGGATAGAAAAGAATGGTAAACACACTGCTGTTTTATTTAAGAATCTCAGTTGAAACTGAAATTGAAAAGTAATGTTTCTGCTAACGTTGAAACTGAAATTCAAATGAAAAACGTTTTTCAAATTTTTTTTCAGCAAGTAATACATAAATACATTTCTCATCTGTTGGTAGATAGATGAAGATGAACTGGAAGGTGCACCATGATATGTTCTGCTTTTTAACATGTGCTCCCCTATTAGGGTGCACAGAACTAATAAACTCCACAGCAGGGTAGTACTTGTAAATACTTGTAAATACAAGTACTACCCTGCTGCAGAGTTTTTTTTTTTGTGCGCATGTGTAGATGCTGAGCTGGCTGGCTGGGGCACAAAGGCTCTTCAGTGCAGGGACTGCCTGCCAACTAGCCCCACACTGAAGCACCCTTATGCCCCAGCCAGCCCCTCTGCAGCACGTTGAGCCCAGCCAGAGCAGCCCTGGGCTGGCAGGCTGAGCCCCTGACTCCCCTGCCAGCTGGGGCTGCTGCAACCCAGCTCAGTGTGCTGTGGTCCAGGCTCACATGTAAACCATGAACCTGGGAGCTTCCTGGGAGCAATAAACTGGATAGAAATAACCTCTCCAATTTATTGCTCCTCATTAATGGCATGTGTAGATGCACTCTGTTCGAAGAAAGAAACTATTCTTATATGACTCATCACTGCCAGGTTGTAGAGATCTACAGCTAAGGAAAGGGAATAATCATTGTGTACACATAGTACATAACGTTGCAAGGAAGATTTTTCTTTTCTTTTCCAGAAGCAAGCTTTCACTACATGAACCGTTTCTTGTACTAAGTAGGAAGGAACCGTTACCATGTTTATGGGCATTGTTAGGGATTTAAGGTCCTGGCTCACTGGTCATTTAGACAATTTAACTAGTGGCAATAGTAGATTCTAGATTTACAGATTTAATTTTTCCATGTGAACAAGGCAATATCAACTCATCCCAAATGTTTCCACTTGCAGAGAGATACAAGAGTGGGGAGAAAGAAAAGAAACATCTGCCACTCTAAGAAACAGCTTGTGGACTGATGCCATGAGGGAAGCCAAGCCTGCAGTTAATCAGCTCTGCCCTCACCAACAGATGTCACTGCAGTCAAAAGGAATTAATTTGTGAGGTTACTGGGCTCAAGGAACTACAAAATCCTCTGAAAGCCCAAATGTGAAAGAATTTTGCTTTTATAGCATATGCTCACATCTCAGTTCTTCTGCCACAAGCTCGGAATTAGCAGCAGGCAGATTTGTAAAAATAACAAAAAAGAAAAAAAATGCTCTAACTTAAAGCAATGTGAAATAACTGAAATACATCAAAGCACAAGGCAATACTCTGCTTTTAATTTTATGAATGATTTAACTGTGAAAACAAAAGCTGTTCATTCATTATGCCTGTTTCCCCAAGGCACAATGTAGAAAAGTAGACATTTCTAGTTGCTTAATCCTATGGGAAAAAGGAATGAGGGAAGTATATGCTTAGTAGTTAATATGTTGAGTTTTAAGGTTGTAAACTTATGTATAGAAAAGAACATTAAGGGTCCATTCCTAGGAGTGTGAATGTAAATTTCCCTGGGTCCTCAGGCATTCCCCTGCATGTGTGCTGTGGTGCACAGTCAGTTGCCCCAGGTAGGGTAGGGGAGGCCCCAGCAGCTTTACCTGGGATCCTGGGGACCTCCTGGGGCTGCAGAGGTGGTGATCTGGGTATGCAGAGCCTGGCTGGCAGTTGGAGCATGGCTTTGGCTGGCAATGCTTTGGTTTTGGGTAGCTCACATGGCTGCCATGTGCTCTATGCCGCTTTTTTGGGGTCCATTTTTTTAGATAGTGGGATTTCCTGGTACCTAATTTTTCCCCCACGCTGCAAATGTGTAGTGTGGCGAACAAATTAACATGCACTGTGTACATTTTGCGATGCCTCAAAAGGCTTTCAGGCACCAAAAACTGCATGTCCCCATGTTCGAATGTGGCCTAAGATTGTAAATTCAAATTCTTAAATGTTAGCACTGTTAAAATGAAGATTGATCATCCAACATCAATTTAATTCCACTATGTATGTGTCCTGTAGTAGTAATCTTTAACAACATAATTACACAGTATATTTTTTTTTCTACGGGCACCCCATATCATGCAGGAGGGTTTTGTGGGTGTAGTTATATTTAAAACAAAACAAAACTGAAGATATAAGGATTTCATTGCAAAGGACCATGTTCCAGATGAACCCTGGCACAGTTTTCGGCAATTTGTGGAGATATTTCTCCTGTATGTGGGATACTCTCACTAAAAAGGGAGGGAAACACCATTTCATTAGACAGTTTCTTAATTTTAACTGATAGCAGAGAAATGTTGAGATTGGGATTTTTGATTTCAGGTCCTCAAAGTTCTTGCTAGTGGTTAGACACCCATTAGCTCCTGGCCCCCATGATTCCTCATTTCAGTCTACTGTGGTCTTGTTCCCTTCATCCTAGTTCTCATCTCTAAGTCACCGTCTTAATTCCTTTTCACTGTCTTCTTTTATTCCTCAGCTGCTTTTCCAAGCCACCCACCTTTGCCATCCTCCTCATTCCTATGTGTTTTCTATGGGTTTTTTCTTCCTTTCACTCAAGAAGTAGCAGGGAGAGAACATGGAATAGTTCTGCTGTTCTTAATTAGTTTGACCTGGTGACCAAGAGGAGTCATTCCAGGGAAAGTCCTGCTCAACCTCTGATGCTCTGTGCTGAAGCATTCTCAGTGCAGATGACATCTCTGGAGAATGTATCTGCCAAACTCTAACAAGCCATGACTGAGTGTGTAGAAAGAAAGTTTTTGAGCTGTTTATACCTTGGGTAAATAGCAATGGATTTTCATACAGAGGGGAAAAAGAGATGTCCCTTTCACTGAAGGAATCCTGCTTTGAAACTTTAAATTCTTTTTCCTTTAAATTCTTTCTGAAGTTTAGCAAAGTTTATAAGGAACAAAAAGCATGCTTTTACAGGTTCCTTCCAGTCTGATGATTCTAGGATCTTATAATAAAAAATATTGGAGAATCGTACCTATAGATTCTCATCATATGCTGCCTCTATTACATGTAACCAGGATTTTAACAAATGTAAACCAAAATTTAGACCCCGATCCTGAAAAGTTATACATATGCTCAACTTGACACATGAACAGAACTGTTAACTTTAAGAGAAATGTTTATATGCATATAGAGATTAACCATGTGCATAATGGTTTGCTGGATTGGAATGGGGAGGCTGATTTAGAAGCCTTCCCTTAGGCTCCCATTTTGAAAACTGTTGCCAATACAGAGCTACATTTGTTTAACTTGTGCATATATATTTTTTTATGCATAATCTTGTGCAAAATAGGCTTTATTCACGGTTCAATAAAAGGTAGTTTTCTTCCTGACTGGCTGCACTATATCTTGTAAAATGACCCCTGTTTAATCATTTTGTCCTATGGTTCTATGCTTCTTTTTCCCCCTTCCTTTTCCCATGGAAATGCCCTCCCAACTGACAAGTGGTAATGGTTTTTGATAACAGATAGCTCCTCTCTATGGACTCTGCTTTCCTTTTGTGACTATTTTTCCTCCATGATACAAGTAAAATAAAAAATAGTTGTCAATACAGGTTTCCCTTGATTTATACAGTACATGTGTTCCTGGCGCATAAATTGAATTTGCATAAAGTGAACCCACTTTACAATGTAACGAATAGGGATAGGCTCCCATGGTGGTGAGGGAGGGAGGGAGTGAGACTGGGACTAGGGAAGGGGCAGGGTGCTGCTCCTGGGACAGCACAGGGCAGTGAAGCAGAGGGAATGGAGAAGCCCTCACCTCAGCCCCAGCTGCAGCAGTCCCAGGAATGGCCGATGTCAGCTGCTTGCAGTCGCTGGGCTGCACTGTGCTCCACCTGCCCCCTGTACCTGGGCTCTGCCTGTCTCCACTCACCTCTGCTCCTAGGCTGTGCAGTGCCCTGGTGCAGGCAGCTGGTGCCAGCTGCTCCCAGGGCTGCTCCAGCACAGGCTGGGATGAGTGCTGCAGACAAGCTCCCAGGCAGCATGGGGTGTGGCACTCACCCCAGCCCTGGCTGCAGAGGCCCTGGGAGCAACCAGCACCAGCTGCTGGGCTACACCATACTCAGCCTGTCCCCCCACACCCGGGGCTCCACTTGTCCGCAGATCCGCCGACACCAGCTGCCTGCACCAGGGTGCAGCCGACACCAGTTGCCTACCGATACCAGCTGCCTGCACCAGGGTGCAGCACAGCCCAGGAGCAGAGGTGAAGGGGGACAAGCAGAGCCCAGTCATGGGCTGCTGGCAGCAGCCACTCCTAGGGCTGTTGCAGCCAGGGCTGGGGTGATTGCCACACCCCATGCTGCCTGGGGCTTCACTTGTCTACACTCACACCAGCCCATGCAGAGCAGCCCCAGGAGCTACCTGATGCCTGCACCACGGCATGGCGCAGCACAGGAACTGGGGTGATCCAAGTCATGGGGGAACAGGCGGAGCACGGTGCAGCCTAGTGGCTGCAGGCCACTGCTCCCAGGGCCACTCCCAGGGCTGCTGTACCTACTGGGTGGGAGTGAATTTACCTTGCATATAACAAAGCATGGGTCTAAGTATGCTTATCACAAGTGAATTCGCAAATAAAGAACCCACATAAATAGAGGGAAACCTGTATTCCAGCCACCTCAGGAGCATATACACTCACAGGTATTTCCTGACATCACAAGACATATAGCAGTAGTTCCATAAGAAAACCATGTTTTTGTTATACTTGACTTAAAGCAATAATTTTAAAAAAAGCCTGCACTCTTTTCCAAAGCATGCCAGTTTTCTACATTTAAATGAAGGTTTCTTCCTTCCTCTGGTGCACAAAGTTCTGTAATGTTACCTAAGTTTACACATAAAACAGGTGGTGAAGGGTCCCTCTAAAAATCAGTATCATTGTTATTTAACATCATCTGCTCTTTTTTGATGTCCCATATTCCCTACCAAGTGTGGAAGAACATTACTGTACTGATGAATAGCTACAAATGGCCATTCCAGTACTCTTGAGTTTCTGCTGCCTGGCACAGTATAATCCTGAATGATTCTTTATGACAGAGGGCATTACAACTTTCAGTTAATTTAATCTCCTTATTGAAAATTTCACATTTGTTTATCTTATTTTCACAAAACAGAAGAAAAATCAGTCTCTGGAAGTAATAACCAAAAAAATTCAGATTTTAAATAGAAATTTTGAACAGGGTGCCATAAGGGGGGAAAAGCAACAAATTGAAATCCTGTGGCTGGTTGACTTTGTCAACAATACTTTATCTTTTGTCTTCATTAATATATAGGGAAGAATCACTGAGCTGGTTTAAGAAAAGAGATCTTCTTACTCTACCCTTATCTTGACCACCAAGCATAGCTATGCTCTAAATGTTTGGCTGAAGACATGTGAAGGAAACCTTACCATCATATCCAGCTGCATTTGACTTCTTACCCCAAATAAACAGGTATCAATTGTCAGCTTGGTCAATGGTTTTGGGAAGGGAGAAAGGGGAAGGGAAACAAAGCTTGAACTCTCATCTCTGAAGTTATAGCAAATCACCTTAAACATTTTGCCTCTACATCCTTGGGAATGTTGAACCCTGGGCTTAACTAATTCAATATAATATAAATATATTATAACTAGTATTGTAAACATATTGAGAGCTCAAGAGATAAAGTATGAACAAAGAAAGGCACCTAATCTAGAAAGGGCCATAAGAAATTACCCAACCATCTTTGCACACATAATGTTATGATTTTCCCTACTGTCTAGATTGAAGAAAAAGTGCTTGAAAAGACACAAAGTTCACCTGATCCTGAGCTACTAGAAAGCCTAGTATTCCCAGTGCTCTACTTCCCACAATCACCAAAAAAGGCATCTTGACTTCAGACTAATTTTTCTACTTTCAATGTCTGATGCCAAACCATTGGAAAGTCAAAAAGCCCAGTATAGCTAGGCTCCTCCTTTATATGCAACAGCTTCATCCAGTATGTCACCTTTCAACACCCTCTCGGGGATCCCAAAAGTTGAAATGCCCACAACCTCATATCACAAGCTGTAATTTCCAGCTGTAGGACCATTGCCATCCTGCCATACTGTCCTTTCCATGAACTTATGAAGCTCCATCTTGAAGCAAGTTAGGTTCCATGTCATATCTCTGAGTAATAGAAACTTTCTTCTAATTTTCATTCTGAGCGTATTCATATTCAGTGTTTCACTTTGTACTTTTCAGACTTGGCACTGTTAAATTTCATCCTATTTCTACTAACTCACTCCACAGTGAGCACATCCAGATGTGCATTAAGATACTTTTCATAATGCGTATTAAATTTAGTACCTCCAAGTGTTTTTACATGTGCTCCCCTCTGGGAATGGAGGGGGGTGCCCAAAGGATCTCATGTACCAGTGTCCCTGCACTATAAAGTGGTGGTGGCGGCACTTTAAAGCTCATTGAGCAAGCTTTAGTTAAAGCACCCCCACCACCAGTTTGAAGAATGGGGAGACTGATACAGAAGACCTGGTAGCTGGCTTGAGCATGGTAATTACCACGCTCCAGCAGACTCAATTAATTGAGTCTCCTCTGATGCACTCTAATTATGTTGGGAGGCATCAGAGCAGCCTCCCAGCTGCACCCTCCAATATGAGGTACTAAACAAATGCGCATTAGGCTTCCTTAATGCGCAGTAAGTAATGCACACAGTTTTTAATGTACAGTAGCCTATTTTACTGCACAGTAGTGTAATAGCACTTTTTTTACATGACACTTTAATGCACAGTAAAATAGGTGACTGATCATTAAAGTACACATATAGACGTGTCCTCAGAGTTAAAAAATGTATTAAAAGAGGGAGAGAACAAAAAACAGACACGTGGGGTAAAGCATAAAGACAATGTCACCAAGTATAAGCAAACAAGTGTTATTTACAATGTTTACATTTTGATCATACTGCAGTAGATTTTATACTTACCCAATACCTTTATATGGCTACACTCAAAATTCAGGGTTGCTATTTATAAAATGTTAATTCTTAATTAAAGAAAAGTTACAAGATTAGTCACTATGCCTGTTGAGACACTGCATGTCTAAGCCAAGAATTTATATTTTCATTATATAACTTTGGAACTTAGCATTTGTAAACAACATTGAAACTCAGTCACATGTTGGGTCACTAAAAGCTGACGGAATAATCTAAAAATAATGTTCAACTATTTGTTTGTGTAATCTGTAATAGTCACCTGTTCAAAGTGGAATAGAAACTGTGTGACACAAACATTATTTGTTATCTCCTGCAAAGGCATAAATAAAATAAGCTGAAAAGGCTGTTTGTTTGTTTTTTCCTGACCTTGCACTTAGAAGAAGACCAGTATAGAATATGTATATAAAGGATTTTATTGTTCTGAGTTGAAGAATGGATATTTCTCCCAAGAATAGGCCATCTTCATACTGAAAAGAAAGAATTTGGCTCATGCAGATCTGTTTAAGGATTACAAATTTGAAATAAATTTTATTTGGAAATTTCTGCACAAATGAAATGGTAACAATACTTAATTATAGTATTGGACAGCCCTGCTTTATAAGAAAGTATTTAGGAAGGACCAAAAGTTTGCCTTTTCAGCTTTGAAAAGAAAATGGAATATGTTTATTATATGCTGCCTTGCTTTCAAGGTGTTACGAAGCCTGGGAAAGCATATGGTGCTGTTTAAATGTGTGATGCTATTTTGACTTACTAATTGTTCTCCAATTTGATTTACTGGCCATTGTTGTTCTCACCTTTCATAGCTTTCATAGACATTAGGGCTGGAAGGGACCTTGGAAGATCATCAAGTGCAGCCCCCTCCCCACATGCCCCTGCAATGAGTGTGGGTTCCTGAGGGCAGGGGCAGGAAGTCAGCTGGGGTCAAAGGATCCCAGCAAGATAAACATCCAAATGTCTCTTAAAGGAGCCCAGAGTAGGTGCTTGTACCACCTCTGGTGGTAGTCTGTTCCAGACCTTGAGGGCTCAGACAGTAATGAAGTTCTTCCTTATGTCCAGCCTGAAATGGTTTTGGAAGAGTTTGTGACCATTTGACCTTGTCATCCTTGGGGCGCTCTGTTGAACAGGCTTTCCCCCAGATCCTGATGTGCACACCTTAAATACTTATAGGAAGCCACCAGGTCCCCCCTGAGCCTGCGGTTTTCCAGGCTGAAGAGTCCCATAGCTCTCAGCCTCTCATCATAAGGCCTGTTTTCCTGCCCTCTGATCCTGCACATGGCTCTCCTCTGGACTCTCTCAAGCTTCTCCACATCCTTTTTAAATTATAGAGCCCAGAATTGAATGCAGTACTCCAGCAGTGGCCTCACCAAGGCTAAGTGCAGCAGGAGGATGACATCCTGCGATTTGCTAGAGAAGCATCTATGGATGCAAGCCAGAGTTTTGCTCGCTTTGCCGGCTGTAACATCACATTGGTGGCTCATATTCATCTTGTGGTCAATCATGACCTCCAAGTCCCTTTTGGCTGTGGTGCTAGTGAACATAGCACTGCTGAGCCTATAAGCATGCTGTGGGGTTCTCTTCTCAAGGTGGAGTACCTTGCATTTTTTGGTTTTAAGCACCATCAGGTTTTCATCTGCCCATTTTCCAAGCCAGTCAAAGCTGGCCTGGATCTCCATCCTGTCCTTGGGTGAGGACGCTTTCCCCCAAAATTTGGTGTCGTCAGCAAACTTAGCCAGTCCACTTCTGACACCAAGGTCCACATCATTAATGAAGATGTTTAATGACCCCACTGGTCATGGCGCACCACGATGATTGACTTCCATCAACTACCACTTTCTGGGTCCAACCTCGGAGCCAATTCCCGAGCCATCGGTCTGTGATGTAGCCAAGGCTGCAGTTGGCCAGTTTTTCTATGAGATAATCATGGGATACCAGATCAAAAGCTTTTTTAAAATCAAGACACATGATGTCAATCTCTTCTCCCTTGTCCAGGTGATATGTCATCTGGTCATAAAAGGAGATGAGATTGGTCAGGCAAGACCTACCCACAACAAACCCATGCTGGCTATCCCTCAGGATGTTGCCATCAGCCAGTTTGTCAAGTATGGTCTCTTTGATAATTTTTTCTAAGATCTTCCCCTGGATAGAGGTCAGGCTGATGGGCCTGTAGTTCCCCAGATCTACTTTCCTCCCTTTCTTGAAGATAGGCACCACAATGTCCTTTTTCCAATCTTTGGGCACTTTGCCTGAGCACCACGAGTTCTTGAAGATCTGTGCCAGTGGCTGAGCTATGATGCTAGCCAGCTTCCTAAGTATCCTGGGGTGTAAACTGTCTAGGCCGGCTGACTTGAAGGTGTCTAGCCTCTCAAGGTGTTCCTTCACATGGTCAACATTGATGAAAGGTAACAATGCTCCCTCATCCTGGTCGTTCTATACTGTACTGAGCAGGGCCATCCTGTAGGGCTGGTGAAAAACCGGCACAAAATACCCATTAAGCAGGTTGGCTTTTTCCTGGGCATTGGTTGTTAATTGTCCCATATGGGTTGTCAGTTGTCGCTTTGACATGAATCTGTGGGCAAGGAAAAGTATACAAAGGCCAGCTAGCACTTGAATTAAAGTTAAAAAGAATAGTTTCCCATGTGGAAATAGGTTGTTAATGTTATATATCACATTGGTTGACTTAGTGGAGCTACCTCTATCTAGGTTAGCTGAGTCTGACTCATTTTGTATGGTGTTAAAAGAAGACAGAAGGATAGGCAGGTTCTCCCTAAATGTTTACCACTTGTTTTCCAAGGTCGGAAAGTCAAAATTTAGAATGCTTGTTTAGTAGCATGCTGAACTGTTGTTTTTCACATAACACACTGGGCATTGAATTTCACATATCTAGCTTTTATAACAAACAGCATAAGAAGAATGGGAAGGGAACAAAAGGAACTCTCAGAGGAAAACTGCAGTGATTAGATAGATACTTGCATACACATTTACTGTACAAGAACACACATTATAAACAAGATTTTTTAAAGTCATGTATTAAAAAGTCCCATATAAATGAAAATCAAATGAATCACTGGGCTTTGAATGTATACATCTTAAATGTTCTAGTAACTTTATCATTTTTTAAAATAAGGTAACTTTCTTCTAGTGAAAGACAATGATACGTTACTGTAGTGTTTGAATAAGGCGATGCTAGTCATTAGGTAAACAGGCTTGGAACCTTCCATGAAAAAGAAGCGTGGAGATGGATGTGTCACGGGAAGAAAGAGAGAGTAGCAAAGGAAGTGTGGAGAAGAAAAGGTGGCATTCCAGTCTGGTTGTCTAAGGTTGTGGGTGCACAAACTGAGTACTGTGTGGTGAAAGAGAGCAGGGATTTAATGTGCACCAGCGTCTCTGCAGTAACTCTTTGAGTGCACACTCTGGCCACGTCCAGATGAGCATGGCCATGCTATATGTGATGCTGCAGACCTGTCTGTGGTGCCACACACCACATATTCAGGCATTCCCCACACTAGGTACTACTTTGCAACCGGGGGTGGGGGGAAGGGGTTGACCCTGAGAGATTGTGGGGTCAAAAAAACCTGCATGGAAAGAAAGTGGGGCAGCACATGTGGTGGCAGCACACACTGCCCCAAACCAGAGCCTAGCTGGGTGGAGCCACGCTCCAGCTGCTGGCCACTGGCCAGGTTCTCAGGTGAAGGAGCACCATGGCTGCAGCTTCCCCAGCCCCCAAGACCCCAGGTAAGGCTGCTGGGGCCAGCACAGTTGCTGGCCCCAGCCTCCCCTACCGCACTTGGGGTAACCTGCCGTGTTCCAAAGCACATGTGGCAAAGGTGTTCCCTAGGGACATGTAGCAGTGGCACAAGGTGAGCTGCTGCTACTTGTCCCTAGGGAACCAAACATCCATGTTTGTCTGGACATGGCCTCTGACTCCATAGTATATAAGAGCTAAACCACAGCAACCTAATGTTTTTTTCATTAAGGCAGAGCAAGGACAAGAACGGATGTCTCCAACACCTGAAGTTGGTGTCCTAAACACTAAGCTATTGGCTCTTCTGGTTTTGAGCATAAAAATCCATCTGGGAGCTGAGTTACCTTTCCTGTTGAAAGTGACACATATTTATGAACACTTTGGGTGTCAATTAACTGCCATCTTTCAACAAAAATATTTTGTCGAAAATTTTCCAGCCAGCTTTTTTAGAATCAATGTCTTTCAAAATTACACTGCAGTTTTTCTTTAAAAATACAACCACAGCTTAGACTCTATTTAAAATTTGCAAGAAGCAAAGGGGGGTTTGGGGGTGCTATCATTTATTGGATCAGCTGCATGATTGGGATAGACTTAGACAAGCTTTTGAATGCAGTGCATTCTTCTACAACATCACTCCAACACTGTTTAAAATACTGAATTTTCAAAGATAGAATTGAATGTTTGCATAATGAAACCAAAGTAAAT